GGTGGTTTTTTGGACAATGGCCAAATTATAGGACCAATTTTGAATTTTTGCCGGAGAGTGTGCATGCAAAAGTATATTACAAGGGGGTATGGCGCAATTTTTAAAATACAGGGGGAAAACGCGCAGATTTAGTATATTACAGGGGGGTTTGGTGCAATTTACCCCCCAAATAAGTCATAACCTTTTAAGAGTACTAAACTCATATAATGATTATTTTTCACCACTAATAACAAGGCATAATTTAGAATTGGTCCTATAATTTGACCACTTTTTAAAAAACCATCTCGATATTGACTACTTTCAAACTTGGTCCTATAATTTGACATTTTAATCAAATTTGGTCATTTTTAATCAATTTTGGTCCTTTTTTAGTTTTTTTTTTATCAATTTTAGTCATTTTTTAATCACATTTTAATCCATGTTTCGGATAAAAAGAACCAAATTTGATTAAAATATCAAGTTATAGGACCAAGTTTGAAAGTGGTCAATATCGGGGTGATTTTTTAGAAAGTGACCAAATTATAGGACCAATTTTAAGATTACGCCCTAATAACAATATGCAGTAAATGGAGGGTTGGGTCAGAGTCAATGAGTTCTTATTATGAGATCAACACACACGCGTACATACTCATACGATTGTGTGTTGATCAAAAAGTACGAAATTAAATGGCTATGTTGCAGTCATCGGGAGATTGAAATGAACCAAAATAAAATCATGTCAACAAACATCTGAAAAGGAGCATCGCCCTCGACTTTTTTATTGCCACATTGACTACAAACTTACTATATTACGACTGACATTAACAAACAACACAAGACAGAACAATAGGACATTTTGTGCAACTCACTAAATAAATAATGATCATCATGCATACATAAAAACAAGTACTCCAACATGAACCTTTGACAAGAGGAATAGTCCCTGTAGATTAGGGTTTTCTCTCCCGTTTGGAGTTCCCAGTTCCTTGTTTTGGATCCGTAGTTTGTTCCTTGTTCTTGTGTGCTTCTCTCTTTGATGTTCCGTGTCTCTGTGTTCAGTTTTTTGTTTCTGTCTTTATCTTTCCTTTCGTGGAATCTATATTCGCTCCCTGTGTTGGCATCACCTTTGCTTCATCTTATTAGATTCTTTAGGTTGGTGCTTTTTGTCCTTGGGAGTCTGGGGGTGGTAGTTAGTCATTTGTATTAGGAGTCTCCTTGGTAGATCTGTAGGTATGGAGGCAGATCTGGCGGACAAATTGAAGGGTTTTCGGTTATCGGAAAAAGAGGAATCGGGTGTTGCTCTATCGGTGGAGGATGTAGCAGTGGGAATCCAAGAATGCTCCAATAGCCTTCTGGGCAAGGTATATGGAGAAAAGAAAGTTAACTTCGGAGGGTTGCGAACCACCCTTTTCAGCATCTGGAATACTAGCCAACCCTTCACTATCAAAAACATAGGGTACAACAAATTCCAATTCGTGTTCCAGAATGAAGCTGACAAGGACAAAGTCCTCAATGGTAAAACATGGACATTTGATGGCCAATACATCCTCTTGAAAAGTTGGAGTCCGAAAGATGTGGAGTTCTCTGAGGATGATGAAAAAATCAGGCTATGGGTCCACATCCAAAGATTACCTTTGCACTGGAAAAGTGAGGAAACAGGTTTGAAAATTGGGAAGCTGATAGGTAAAGTCCTGTATGTGTACATCCCGGAAGGAACATCTAACAGTGGAAATGATGTCAGGGTGCTAGTGGAGTTGAAACTAAAGGAACCAATTGTCAGAGGTACGTTCATTACTCTGGGAGAGGAAAGGCAATGGGTGGATTTCAGGTATGAGAACTTACAAGGCTTTTGCTTTTACTGTGGGTTGATTGGTCACAGTGATAGAAACTGTAAAACCAAAAAAGAAGATTTGAATAATAATGTGCTAAAATCAGGGCAATTTGGAGATTGGTTGAGAACCTATTCATTTAGCTTTCATGATCTTAAGGGATCTAGGTCTAGCCAAGAGGGTAGTTTGCAAACTGAGGGTGTGGGTAAATACAGGGAAGGGAGTGAGCAGGATAAACAGTTAACTAGGGAAGGTAGTGTTAGTGCTATGAGTAGTGGTAACCAAGGGGATGTTGATGCTGTCCGTCAAGGGGGAAACATAGAACAAGGTAGTAAAGATGTTACTGACCTTGAGAAAACCAGGGTTTGTTTGAACAAGGTTATGTCTGATAATAGTGAGTTTCCTAATTCCCCCACAGGGCAAGACAATTTAATGGAGATTACTGTTGGGTTCGATATACCCGTACGGAACAAATAATGCAG